CTGGTAGTCAAGTTGTCTGGTTGCTGTTCATTGCTGTAGTTGTAGGATAGGCTGTAGAGTAGATAGGGCGCCTGGCGCCATTCACAAGAGAGAGCTACATTTGGGTTATGCTGTTGGTGTTGCCCTGTTGGGTATGGACATTGACTCACGATTCTTCTGTATCATTCTCAATGGGATGGTTACTCGGTTCCATGTGCTATCTGCTTTGGCTTTGAATAGTTGGACTTCAGTGTGATTTTGCATTCTGGATTTCTGTGCTTCGTCCGTACTCATGTTCCTTGCACTTCTTCCTCCTCCTTTCTTCCTCCCACCATACAGTGGACCATACTCCTTCCATTCCTGCTGCATTTTTTTCATTTCTGACCCATGACCATGGCTAACAAAGCCTGGTCATTTCTGACCCATAACCATTTTCATTTCTGACCCATGACCATTTTCATTTCTGACCCAGGACCAGGGCTAACAAAGCATGTTCTGATGCACTTGTAGGCAAGACACAACAACACATGACATTGTCTGGGGGTCATCGCAGATGACACGGCAAAGAAGACACCCACCATTCCAGCACACTGGACACGTGGACAACCCACGTCGGCAAGGACAGTGCATTTGCAGGCTCGGTTGCGAGATCCAATCCCGGAATCGCTCCCAATATACTCCATGTCAGATCCAATCCTTGTTGAGCATTGAGTCCCAGGGAGGCCCACTCTGCTGCAGTGCCTGACACCTCTGCAGCCTCTGCAGGTGCAGAGCCTGGCGATGCCAAAAGACAGCAGAAAATAAGGACCCCCGCACTGATGCATACTAAGGGGGGGGCCACCTGGTAGCCATGTAGAAGAGCGTCTTTCGGTCGCGGGAGAGTGCTGTTTCGGCTTTGTTCCGCAACTGTACCACCACCGCAAACACTTTCCGTCATGGCTGCAGACCTTGTCTCCTTCTCCTCCCTAGCAGCTTGCGTCTGGAGGGCCTCGCCCCACCGCTTGCCAAGTGCAAGAAAGACAAAAGAATGGCGACCATATCTTTCCAACTTTTGGGTTGCAGTGGACTCTCCATTTGGCAAATTAGGAGAGTCGTCCCAAGCAGCCCTCTGCGTGGTCAATCCAATGGCCCCGATCCCGATGCAAGGAGATGCATTCAGCCGAGATTGATCATGGGCAAAGTTCCCTCTGTCCTTCACACATCTCCGTCTCCATCGACACAGAGGCCTCCTCCTACTTTCCGTCTGTTTTGATCCAAGGACCAATCGCTGCTGGCCGATGCTGTAGCCATCACTGAATCTGCCACGTCGGCTGCAGGAAGGGCAGCATTCCAGGCATGATGAAAGCACACCCCGCCGCCCTTGTAGCAACTGCGAGACGACCGAATGATTGCTGCGACGTACGCTCTGCTGTGCATCAACCTGGCCGCAAGGCCATGGAGGCTCGCTTTGAAGACGGTGCCAACATTGGGACCCAACTGCTGCCACGACTTGTCTAGTCAAGGCTGAGGTCCCGACTTGCGTTGCACTGGCCTCAGGCAACAACAGAGCCTGAGACGGAAGCAGCTGCAAAACAATGCACAAGGGGGAGGGTCAAAAGATAATAGCAAATGAGGAGCAAAGAGGATAAGGAGATGGATATGGATATGGATATGGATAAGATAACAAACAAACATAGTAGTTGAGAGTAGTGGGGGATCAGTGCTGTATAAATATGGATATGGATAAGGATAAGATAGCAAACAAACATAGTACTTAAGAGTAGTGGGGTATCAGTGCTGTATAAATATGGATATGGATATGGATATGGATATGGATGAGGATAAGATAGCAAACAAACATAGTACTAGTCCTTCGAAGTAGTGGGGGATAAGTGCTTTATAAATATGGGTATGGATATGGACATGGATATGGATAAGATAGCAAGCAAACATAGTACTCAAAGTAGTGGGGGATAAGTGCTGTATAAATCTGGATAGGGATATGAATATGGTCCATATGGGTTTAGGGTATGGATGTAGATAATGATAAGATAGCAAACAAACATAGTACTTAGAAGTAGTGGGGGATAAGTGCTTTATAAATATGGATATGGATTTCAATATGGATAAGGATAAGAACAAACATAGAACTTAAAAAGTAGTGGGGGATAAGTGCTGTATAAATATGGATATGGATAAGATAGCAAACAAACGTAGCACTTAGAGTAGTGAGAGATAAGTTGCTGTATAAACACTGGTGAAGAATGGGATAAGAGTATGGCAACGACGAGAATAGCACACGCAGTTTGAGTTGTAGGATAACGGATACGGATATGAATGTGGGTAAGGTAGCAAACAAACCTAGGACTTGCAATACTGGGGGATAAGTGCTGTAATAAACACTGGTGGAGAATAGGGTAACGATATGACAACAAAAAGGATAGCATGAGCAATATGATAGGAAAGGAAAGGCTGGGAATGCTATCCTCGTCCTTGTGATATCGTTGTCCTATTCTTTCATTGCCTTTAAAACAATAGGATAAGGCTTATCGTTGATAAGAATAGGGATAGGACAGCATACGAATGCGGAGGAGAGAGCATCAAAGAGGATTCTGCAGACTGTTGAGGGTTCAGCCTCCTGATGAGTCGGTGAAATTCCAATGAAACAGTTTGCCTCAGCCCCTCGTTTGTCGTCCTCTTCTCCCTCTTGTCCCTCTCTGCCTACGGTTTACCAGGCAGCTCTGTTTG